AGGAAGGGTGGGAGCGGCACCACCTGGCCTTGCCCAGCTGATCCAGCCAGGTCTGCTTAGAAATATGTGCACCAAGATGGCACCCGCGTCACTCAGACACTGCCTAAAATTCAGGCCCAAAGGGAGTAAACGAGACCTGAAAAGCAATCATTTTCAGAGTCCACAGCTACTAAAACCAACAGCCAGGTTTTTCAAAAGGGATGAGTGGTTTCAGAGGCCTCAATTTGTATCATGTTTCTTTTAAGATACCTTAAAGGGGCTGCATTTCAGACACAGGGTGCTCAACTCTTCCAAAATCCAGATGCCAGAGGAACGCAAAAAGCCTGCCCCAGTTGTTCACATTCTCCAAACACCAGTCACTTCCAAAAAATCTTGGATTCACAGAAGTGTAAGTGAATTATGAATCTTTTTCTTCCATCTACCTACTAAGAAATGAAAATCTACACCTCTGGAGAGAATCTGATTTGTATTTCTGATACAGAGGTTTTGGGGTTTTTTTAAACAAAGTAGAAAAGGAAAAATGAAAAAGATGAATGCATGTAAGACCACTAATAAACTACATGCAGGTTATCTTGTTGAGTTTTACGGGGGATAAGGGTTAGAAAAAAACATGTAATACTTCTGCTTAAGCATTCAATAACTCATACACATTGACAGAAAAGCCTATCAGTGACATCATTTATTTTTCCATACTGTGGGCTTCTATGTCTGTCTGTCTATCAGTCTGTCTGTCTCTCTCTCTCTCTTCTCCTCTGCAGAGTCTCAAACTCCCTTCACCGGAGGTAAAGCAGGGCAGTGAACTACATTGCAATTACATGAGCACATCAAATTTTAAGGAACAGACTTCAAGATGAAGAAAAACAGACATTATAATCAAAACCAAACTTTGTGGCTACTTTGTGGCTGTCCTACTAACAAGGTCATCCAGTTTCTGGTCACAGCTGCAGAATTTACCGCAAACCAGCTGTGAATTCAAGTCAGGAAAAATTCCTTCTTTCCTATA